TTCTTTTCCTCATTTTTTTGTAACATCTTATTGGCTCAGGCCTCTGGTAATAGTAGCAATGATAGCAAGCATCCTGACTTCCTCCTTGATGTTAAGTAAAATATGTAGGTTTGACTTTGAAATATATTTGTTGTCAGTTTCTGGTATACTGTAATCCTTAGGAAACTTTCCTTCTGCTTTGAGACTTTTAAGATTTTTTAAAAAAATTAACAATGGGCATTGAATTTTGTCATATGCCTTTTTGAATTTCTTCTGATAAATCTGCTTCTTTTTTCCCACATTAATCTTACTTGATTTCCTAATGCTGAACCTTTCAAAAAAATTTTCTACAATGAGCTCTGCTTGGTCATGATGAATTTTTTTAATCCATTGCAAGTTTTAAATTGCTCTTATTTTGGGGGGGATTTTTACACCTAGATTCATAGGTGAGATTGGCTTGTAATGTTTTTTGTCTTCATCTTGTTCACTTTTGTATTCAGGAATATGTTGGTCTTATAAAATAAATTGGGAAAGGTTTCTTTATCTAAGCTTTGAAAAAATTTTCTACATACAGTAGGCATTTGGTAGAACTTTCTAAGAATATATCTGGGGCTTTCCAGTTTTTCCTGAGGTAGTTTGATCTATCTGGGTCAATTTAAGAAAGGTGTGTTTTCTAGAAAAATCATCCCTTTCATTTAGATTTTAAAATTTGGTGTTACACAGTCGTACATAATATTCCTTATTAAGCTTTAGTCTCCTCTGTTTTTGTAGTTATGTTCTCTTTCTTGCTCCAAATGATTATTTGAATCTTTTTCCTTACCAGTCTATGAAAGCTTTGCCTATTTAATGGTTCTTTTCAAAGAACCGATGTACTTTTCTTTTTTTGGTCCTGTTATCATTTTTTCACTCACTTTTTCTTAATTTCTGTTTCTACGAATTCTGTTTCCCTATCTTCCCTAGGTTCAATTTCGTATTCTCTCTCTGGCTTCTTGAGTTTATTACTTAGTTTATTTTTGTTATTTGCTTGCTTTCTAATTAATGGCATTAAAGTGTAAGTTTTCTTGGCAGCACACTGTGGCTCTACCCTCTGGTTTTAATTTATAATCCTCTCACTGTCTTTTCTAAATGATCTGTCATTTCAGTTTTGATTTCCTTTTTAGCCCAAAAGTTATTAAGGATGATGAGTTTTTGTCTGTTTCCTAGTGAGTTTTTCTTGTTGTTTTGATATTCCTTTATTACTAATTTATGGCTCTATTGTATTGTGGTTGAGGGTAAATAACGGCTGCAGTTTGAAATTTATGGAAATTTTGTTAGTGGCTTGGTAAGTGGTTAATTTTTGCAAATATTCCATGAGTACCAACTGCTAATAGATTTTATTTGGTAATATTGCTCAAATTCTTTATGTCTTTTTATTTTTTGTTTAATGTAATAAATGACATTAGGTTATTTAAGAAAACCTATGTGTGTATGTTGGAGGTAAATGACAGATCTAGAATTTGCGGTAAACTCTCCCAGCAAATGTAAAAGGTGACGGGAGGTGAAATAACTATACCTAAATGTTTGTGGTGGTTGCAGCTGGGTTATGGTACGTGAAGGTTTGTGTTCTCTATTTTTGTGTGTTTGAAATTTTTAATAGAAAAGTTAAAAATAATCCTCCCTATCCTTATTTGTTTTTAGATTGCTTGATGTGTTGATTACTGGAAAAGTTGTGTTAAAGTTTCTCACTGTGTTTTATTGTTTTTCTAACACTGTTTACTTGATATGTTTCTAACCCAAATAATTGGGTGCTTAAAATTTTACTGTAGTTAAATTTCCTTTTATCATAATAAAATCTCCCTTTTTCCCATTTAATTTCCCATTTCTGTTTTTAATATTGCCATACTAATTTTATTGTTGTTAGCATTTTCAATCTATTTTTCCACATCTCTATTTTCTTTCCTTAAGGACATTTTTTCTTGTGAAATGTGACTCACTTATGGTAATATAACGTACATGAAGAAAATATACATGTAAAATTTCTCTAAACTGGAAAATGCAGACATTATTTAAGCCATATTCTCTGATGACAATGCAGTAATTACATCAAAGAATAGCTGAAAGAAAAAAAGAAAGGGACAAATAAAAATAAGGTTATTTTTAAGACTTCTAAATAATTTCTGATAACTTCTAAATAACTCATGGCTTAAAAAGGAAACCAAAACTGAAATGATAAACCACTTAGAAATGGCACTAGAACATTGTATTTTGAAACCAATGGGATGCGCCAAGAGTGTGGGGCAAAGAAGAAGATTTATGGTGTTAAATGCTAGTCACTAGAGAGCAAAAAAAGTACAAAAATAAATTGAGTATTAAATTAAACCCAACTCTCTTTTTTTCTTCTTTTAAAGATTGGCACCTGAGGTAACAACTGTTGCCAATCTTCTTCTTCTTTTTTTTTCCCAGAGCCCCCCAGTACATAGTTGTATATTCTAGTTGCAGGTCCTTCTAGCTGTGGCATGTGGGATGCCGCCTCAGGGTGGCTAGATGAGCGGTGCCATGTCTGTGCCCAGGATCCAAACCAGCGAAACTCTGGGCCACCGAAGTGGAGCGAGTGAGCAAATTTAACCACTTGGCCATGGGGCCAGCCCCTAAACCCAACTCTTAACTTCTAGAACTAACCACTGTCTTGGTTGGATGGTGGTCACTTCCCTGCTTTTCGTTTGTAATTTACCACCTGTGTATGCGTCCTTAAACACTGTTCTTTTGTTTGGTTTGTTTTAAAACTTCATATAAAGAGTATCATACAGTATTGATATTTTTCCCTCTACCAATTTGGAAGTTACGTATTCTTTTTAGAAAAATATTTGCTTAATATTCATTATGGAAATTTTCAAACATAAACAAAGGTACAAAGATTGGTATAATTAAACCAATTTTTGCATGTTCAGTTTCAATAACCATCAATACATAGTCTTGTTTTATTCCTGTCTTACCTACTCTCCCACCCCTTGATTGTTTTGATGAAATATCTGTTCTTTTCCTGGTTATAAAAGGAATTAAAGTATGCATTTTCAGCCTCTCAAAATCTGTTGGTATGTTTCTTTCTTCCGGGATAATAGAAAGACTTCGGAACACTACAACTCCATTTAACTCCTCCTAACTTTAATGTTATTGTTACCATGTATTTTAATTCTGTCTAGTTTTCTAATACTCAACAAGACATCATTAATACTGTTAAAGTCAGTGTTTATTTTGATTTACTTACGTGTTTACCGTATTGCCCTTCTTTCTTCCTGCCCCTCATATCTTCTCTTTGGGATTACATCCCTCGTGAGTAGTGTGTCCTTTACTCTGTCCTTTTCTCAGGGTCTGCTGGTGGCAGTATCCCTGTTTTTGGTCATAGATAGCTATGTGCTTTGTTTTGCCATGTAACTTAGAAAGTATTTTCAAAATTCAGTGACATTGCTATAATAAAATCCCTTTTATTCCTTCATTCATCTATTATTTATATGAACAAGGTTTCTCAGTTCTTATATCAATAAAAATGAAGGACAAATAAGCCCAGAAATAAAACCACACTCTACTTGTAGATTGCTTTAGGTTAGTATGGACATTTTAACTATGTTTATTCTTCCAATCCATGTGCATGGAATGTCTTTCCATCTCTTTATGTCGTCATCAATTTCTGTCAGAAAAGGCTTGTGGTTTTCATTGTATAGATCTTTTACCTCCTTGGTTAAATTTATTCCAAGATATTTCATTCTTTTTGTTGTGATTGTGAATGGGATTGTGTTCTTGAGTTCTCTTTCTGTTAGTTTGTTATTAGAGTATAGAAATGCAACTGATTTATGTAAGTTGATTTTGTACCCTGCAACTTTGCTGTATTGTTGATTACTTCTAGTAGCTTTCCGATGGATTTTTTAGGGTTTTCTATATATAAGATCATGTTGTCTTCCATGCTTAACATTTTGAGGAATGGCCAAATTGTTTTCTAAAGTGGCCATACTACTTTACATTCTCTCCAGCAATGTAAAAGGGTGCCGGTTTCTCCACATGCTTGCTAACAGGTTATTGTCTGTATTAGTAATTATAGCCTTCTTGGCAGGTGTGAGGTTGCATTGATGTAATGAGTAATGGCCTTTCATCTGCTTATTGACAATTTTTTTTTTTTTGGACAAATGCCTATTCAGATCCTGTGCTCACTCTTGTAAAATTTTATTTTATTGAGGTCATAATAGTTATAATTTTGTGAAATTTCAGTTGTACATAATTATTTGTCAGTCACCATATATATCTGCCCCTCTGTGCTTACTTTTTAAGTTGGGCTGTTTGTCTTGTTGTTATTGAGGTTGTAAGAGTTCTTTATATATTCTGGATACAAATCTCTGGTAAATATATGATGGATTGGTATTAATTCTTACTTAAGTGTTGGTAGAAGCCACCTGTGAACCCATTTGGGCCTATGCTTATCTTTGTGGAATGTTTTAAAATTTCTTTTATTCTCTTTAGATGTTACTGGTCTATTTAGATGTTCTTTCTGTTCTTTTGTCCTTTTCAGTAGTTTGTGTTTTTCTAGGAATTTGTCCATTTCATCTAAGTTGTTTGTTAGCAAATTTTTATATCATTACTTTATAATCTTTTCTGTTTCCGTAGTTTCTAGTGCTGTTTCAACGTATTTTGGGGTGTTGTTTTCCTTTATCATGTCCACTCGGCTTTTCTTCTGGGAATTCTTCACAGCTTTGGTCTGCTGACCCTTCCGTATCTTGCATCCCTTTTTTGTCTCTTTGTGCTAGTTAAGTGGAGTTAGGGGTAAGTGTAGATTGGTGGAGGTTCTAAGTCTGCTTGTCATCCAGATGTAATTCTCACCACTTTGATTCTTGGAAATTAACAATCATTTTTTAGTTTCTTACTATGGGTCTCATTGTTTCAAACAATTTGATGACAAAAATACCCAAGTCTTTCTTTTTAAACTGTTCAGATTTTACTCAGAGCAAGTAAATGGTTAATTATGTGTATTACTGATTTGCATTTGCTTGATCTAGTTTCAGAAGCCCTACAGGTGGCAACTACTAGCCCAACTGCCAATACCACTGGTACTGCTAATACTTCCTCTACCACTGTGGGTGCAGTTAAGCAAGAACCTCTCTACTCTACTTCATCTGCAGTAAATATCCTGGAAAATATAAACTCTGCAGAACCCCCAAAGCCCATCGAACTTGATGGTCTTCCTTCAGACCAGTTTGCAAGAGGACAGGACTCTGTTGCCATAGAAGGTTTTACAGATGAGGAGAACTCGGAAAGCGGCGGCGAAGGCCAATACAGGGAGCGTGATGAATTTGTGGTAAAGATAGAAGACATAGAGACTTTTAAGGTGATGTGAACGTTCACAGGTATAAAGGTCAGAGCTTAGTGGGAGTGCATATGATAGCCTTCTTGATGAGTTTAATAGCATGTGTCTAACTTGAGTGCAAAAGTTAGGTTTTTATAATTATTCTAAGTTGTCGTAATTGTTAAATGATACACTAGTAGACGTGAGATATTTTTCAAAAGAAAATAGCTTAAAATAATTTTAACTTATATCTCAGTTTTATATATTTCTGACTAGTCAGTATGTTGGATTAGGTACTAGTAGTTAGAGCAGTTTTGAAATGTCAATGTTTTTCAAGGCTCCCAACTCTTTGTATTATTAGGAGTTTGGAGAAAATGGTCATTTATCTCATTTAAAAGTTTAAAGAAAATAACAGGAATATAATGTAAAATAAAATTAGACTTATTCTCGTAATTTCAGATTGTAAAAATCCTGAGCTGAATGTTATAATTTCATACAAGAAAATTTTAGCTGTGTTCAAGAAAACCGATTCTTGGGTTTTTGATTTTATTCTTTGGTTAGGATGGAGAGGAATGGCATTAAAAAGGACGATTAGGAATATAACATCAAATTAATCTATATTCCTTCCATTCACAATTAACTACTGTTAATATTTTAGCATGTTTGTTTCTGTCTTTTTGAATATATACATAATGTTATAAAATTGCATAAATAATGTATGGTAATATCACTAGAAGAAAACTTTCCAATAGCTGTACGAAAGGGTAATAGGCTACTTTGCATGTTGGTGTGCTCCCTATTTGTGGAAGAATTTAAGCAGAGACTGAATAGCCAGCTTAGGAGAATTATTGCAAGTCAGCTAGGTAAAAGATAAAAGGTTGAGGTAGACAGGTCTTTAAGATTCCTTTCAGCTCTAAGATTCTATAAATTTAGACTAAGTTCTAGTTTTTATAAATGTAATTAATTCTGCTTATTACAGGAGGCTTTAAAAATAGGAAAAGAACCCCCAGCTATTTGGAAAGTACAAAAAGCTTTATTACAGAAGTTTGTTCCGGAAATTCGAGATGGGCAAAGAGAATTTGCTGCTACAAACAGTGTAAGTAAAATGCTTGTTTACATTACCCTTAACTATTTTTTGACAGTGATCCTGGGGAAAATATAGAATGGTTTAAATTTAAATATATTTTATATTGAGCATTTCTGATATAAAATAGCATAAAGTTTGAACTACAGAGTATATGATACTCTAATAGTCTGATTTTATTTTTTTTATTTATTTATTTTTTAAGATTTTATTTTTTTCCTTTTTCTCCCCAAAGCCCCCTGGTACATAGTTGTATATTCTTCGTTGTGGGTCCTTCTAGTCGTGGCATGTGGGACGCTGCCTCAGCCTGGTTTGATGAGCAGTGCCATGTCCACGCCCAGGATTCGAACCAACGAAATACTGGGCCGCCTGCAGCGGAGCGCGTGAACTTAACCACTCGGCCACGGGGCCAGCCCCTAATAGTCTGATTTTAAAATAAATTCAATGTGTAACTACCAGCAGCTTAAAATGAAAACACTTTATACTGTTCCTTAAGTTTTTTTTTTTTTAAATAAAGGAAAGGAATTAGTGTTAGTCTGTGAAGAGTTCAGATAAGCTCAGAAGCTCTTCTATTGATTATTCTGCCAGTCAAACATCCTGATGTACCAGAAGACTTATAGAAGTTATTCTTTTGTCCTTAGGTAGTTTAATAGCATTGAGTAAGTAAACATCTGATGATTGCTTCTGTGTAGGGGCTTGTACTTATGAATGAAGTTGGGCTCATTTTTATTCAGGTGAAATTAGCTTGGCCAGAGCTGCATTTGAAAGACTTGAAGGATAGCTGTATGATAGTCAATCAAGCCGGCAAAGTAATATTTTATGTACAGAATGTATAATTATGTAATTCAAATGTTCCTTTCCTTAGTACCTTGTTTCTTTCCATAGTACCTTGGATATTTTGGAGATGCAAAGAGTAAATACAAAAAGATATATGTGAAGTTCATTGAAAACACAAACAAAAAGGAATATGTCAGAGTATGTTCCAAAAAGCCAAGAAGTAAGCCTTCACAAGCTATCAGGTATTTATTTTCTTATGTAATATACTTGTAGTAAGGCACTCTTTCTGAAGCCCCCTTTTTATCCATAAAATGAAAATAATAATGGAATGTCAAATTTAAAATGAAGTAACTTTTGAGAAAAGACTATAAGACCTGTACATCTCTAGGCAAGTGTATAGTAGAATTATCCTCATATATTAATGTGACTCTGGATTGTCTGGACCGTGAATCTGACCTAGCCACATTCCTTGTGATCTGTATGGGAAAGAGAATGTGACCCTAGATATTCTCAATCAGATGCTAGGAAGATCTAGTTTAATTAAGATTCCAACTTACTGGAAGCAGCCCACCTTATTCTTAGGATGGAATTTTATCCAATCAAATCTCTAGGACTGGCCTACAGCAAATCTTCTTGAGGGGCTCTAGGACAGATACAGTTGGGTCTCTAAATCAAAACCTGTCACCACTGGAGCCTGTGTGAGTTTCTGATGATCAGAGATAGATGTGGCTATCAAGGGTTTATCATGCATTACTTCCTAAAGCCCATTAATCGTCTGTCGTACAGCCTCATATTGAGGACAATCAGTTCATAAAGGGAGGGGAAGAGTGAAGAGAGACAAATAGGGATTGAACTAGTAGTCGTTTAATAGCTGAATGTTGAACGTAAGTGGTTAAAGAATATTCCAAGAGAATTTTGGGGGAATCACCAGTGGCCTTGTGTAGGACTTGGACTTTATTTTGGAGATGTTGGTGAGGTAATTAAATAAACTTTTCCACTGTTTCTCTTTTCTTTTGGTCTAATTTATTTTAATAGTATTTCAGTGTTAATGAAGTTTGTTTGTGACGTTGCAGAACTGTTGAGGCTAAGCCAAGCAGCAGCAGTAAAACTTTTGATCCTCCAGCACCAAAACCTGTAACCACAAAAGCCCCTTCCTTGAAACCCAAAGTTAAACAGCTAAAAGTAAAGGCTGAGCCACCACCAAAGAAACGGAAGAAATGGAAAGAAGAGTTTTCATCTTCCCAATCTGACTCATCTCCTGAGATCCATTCTAGTGGCAGTGATGATGAGGGTGAGTTCTCCATGAAATGAATACCCTGGTAACTCTAGATCATCTACGTAAATGGAGAGGAGCAGTGATGCTGACGATTCAAAATTTATTTTTTTTTAGGGGATTTAGCTACCTAGTTAAGTTCTGCTTAGGCTTTTATAAAAATAAATTCACAATTCCTGAACACACTAACTGAAAGCACAGTTTGCCAACTCATACAGCCTTGTCAGACAGAAAAGGCAGTGAACTGGAAGAAGACCTTTGTGAGCTCTAGCCTTAGTGAGGCCAGTTCTCTCACCTCAGGGCAGGATGGGGTTAGATCAGATGGTTGACCAAGAGTCCTCTAGCTCCAGACTTTTGAGTCTATGTTTATGCCAGAAGAAAAGAATAAAACAAGCCTAGGAAGCAGCAACTCTGAAACTAGTTAATAGGATAGAGTAATGTATATAATAATATATACTTCCATATAAAAATGGAATATGTTTGTTAATTTTATAATATACTGCATTACTGCATACTTCTCTGGATCTGTTAGCTGCCAGCCAGCTGCCCGTGACTTAGCTAGGTAACCTCTCTGTGCCTTAGTTTTCTCTTTTATAAAATGAAAAGGTTGAAATAGATTAGCAGTTATCAAACTTTTTGACCTTAGAACCCTTTCACACTCTTAAAACTGTTGAAGACACCAAAGAGCAGTTATGTAGGCTATATATATTGATATTTACTTTATTACAAAGTAAACCTGGGATAGTTGTAAAACCCAAAAATATACCAGCACACATTCCATCAGCCATCAAACTTGTGTAATATATATAAGAAATTTCAGGCAGTTCAGTAGTCTAGAGCAGAGGTTACCAAACTGGCCAGTGGGCTAAATCTGATCTGCAGCCTATTCTTGTAAATGGAGTTTTATTGGAACACCGATTCATTTACGTGTTTTCATACAGTTGCTTTCCCACTGCAGTGGCAGATTTGAGTAGTTGCTACAGAAAGCACATGACCATTAAAGCCTTGAATATTTACTCTCTGGCCCTTTACAGAAAAAGTTTGTTGACCTGTCTTCTTCTAGAGCATAAAGTTGAAGGTAGGCAGGAAAAGACGAAAGGGTGATGGAAAGTTGTGTTTGCCATGCTAAAGCTGAAAAGCTTGGGATCCTGTAGCAAAATGAGAGTCCTTGGAGGGAGTTAAGGAGGGAGCAACACGGTAAAATCTGAATTTGAATTACAAGACATAATAGTTCAGGTATAAATTGGAAGTCTGAACCTCAGTTGTGGCAGCAGGGGTAGAGGAGACACATTTGAGAAATTCAGGATGTAATCTTGGCAGAACTTGAGCGATGACTTGGATGTTGCAGGTACTGTTGACCTCGATGTCCAGGATGAGTACTGTCATTACAAGTATCATTGCTTGGGAGCTGACCTTAGAGAGTGTTTGAATAGAAACAGAATCATAATAAATATTCCTCAGTGTAGAAGTCTACTTTAAATGTATTGTTTTTAAAAGCTGCTTATGAATGGTTGTTTAGAAGTGTGCACATCAGGGTTTATAAAGAAATTCAGTGCTTTGAGTGTGTTTGGAAGGCATTATGTGTAATTTTTGCTCTTAGTGTTCCTGCCTAGTGTTTAGAATAGACAGGTTTGGGTTCTCAATTTGCACTCAGTTGTACAGCGTCCTCAAATGAGTTACCACTAGTTGTCACTAATAGGCAAGCATTTTTAGTGCTTCTTAAAAAGAAGGCAAATATTGATAATAAACCTAGATTTATAGCCTGATTTTCAAACTGTTTCAAAATTTTATAATCTATATATATTATAATCTTTATAATCTTCAAATTTATTGAGGATTGCAAAACATTTTTGTTTTTGTGGGCTGTAGCTATTTATATTTACCGAACGTCAATTAAAACAGAAATTTAAAAAATTTATTTAAAATAAATCCATTACATATTAAATTGTATTTTTAACAACTGTACTTTTCTAAACTAACAGTATTTAGTTAGAAGAGTAACATTTTCCTATTAGCTCATACATTCAATTTGTTATATATTATTTTGGTTAAAGTATATGAAGAAAACTGAGCCTTACATAGATATATCGTTGGGGAAGGGAAGAGTATTTTAAATACCTTTCCAGATAATTATGAGTATTTTTCTTTGATACTCAGAGTTTTTTATTTGATAAACTTGGCAAGTGGTGGTTTCTCCAACTTTTCATCCTTGTTACAAAGATTATTGTATTGGTTTGTCTTACTCTTTGAATGTATCTCAAGGGTATCATGATCAATGATTTTATAACATTATTCATTGGTCATGTGAAAATATTTTTTAGCTCATTAATGTACATATTCTGTTTCATGTTTTTTCACATTAAAAAAGTTGTGGTAGAATAGATATAAAATTTGCCATTTTAGCCACTTTTAAGTGTACAGTTCAGTAGCATTAATTATATTCACACCATTGTGCAACTGCCACAACTATCTATTTCCAAAACTTTTTCATCACCCCAAACAGAAACTTTGTAACCCTAAGCAATAACTCCCCATTCTCCCCTTCCCCCGCCACTGGTAATCTCAGATAATCTATTTTCTGTCTCTATAAATTTGCCTGCTCTAAATATCTGATATAAGTATGTCTGGCTTATTTCACTTAGCATAATGTGTTCAAGGTTCATCCATATTATAGTATGTATTAGAACTTTCGTCCTTTTTATGTCTGAATACTCTCCCATTGTAAGTTTATCCATCGTATGTTCATTTTGTTTATCTATTCATCTGCTTTGGACACTTGGGTTGTTTCCACCTTTTGGCTATTGTAAACAATGCTGTAATGAATCATGGAATACAAATATCTGGTTGTGTTCTTGTTTTCAATTCTTTTGGCTATATACCTAGAAGTGGAGTTGCTGAGTCATATGATAATTGTATGTTTAGCTTTTTGAGGAACCACCAAACAGTTTTCCATAGTGACTGCATCATTTTATATTCTCACCAGCAATGCATGGGGGTTCTCATTTTTTCACATCCTCACCAACACTTATTATTTTTTGGTTTTTTGGTTATAGCCCTTCTAGTAGGTGTGAAGTGGTATCTCATTGCTTTTTCTTTTTTTTTTTGAAGATTAGCCCTGAGCTAACATCTGCTACCAATCCTCCTCTTTTTGCTGAGGAAGACTGGCTCTGAGCTAACATCCGTGCCCATCCTCCTCAACTTTATATGTGGGGTGCCTACCACAGCATGGCGTGCCCAGTGGTGCTATGTCTGCACCCGGAATCCTAACCGGCGAACCCCGGGCTGCCAAAGTGGAACGTGTGAACTTAACCGCTGTGCCACGGGGCTGGCCCCTCATTGCATTTTTGATTTGTATTTCCCTAACGACTTAGGATGCTGAGCATCTCTTCAGTGCTTACTGGCCATTTGCTTGTCTTACTTGGAGAAATGTCTATTGAAATCCTTTGCTCATTTTTTAATTGAGTCATTTCTCGTTTTGAACTTGAGTTGTAGAGTTCTTTATATATTCTAGATCTTAAACCCTTATGAGATATATGATTTAAAAATATTTTCTCTTGTTCTAAATGTTGATATTTCATTTTCTGGATAATGTCCTTTGGTGCACAAAAGTTTGCAATTCTAATGAAGCCAGATTTGTCTATTTTTTCTTTTGTTGCTCATGCTTTTGGTGTCATATTTAGAATCCATCACCAAATCCAAGATCATGAAGATTTACCCCTATATTTTCTTCTAAGAGTTTTATGGTTTTAGCTCTTACATTTAGGCCATGCATTTTTACAGTATCAAAAAATAACATATATTAATACCACCACTGATCTCATCAATGATGTCTTTAAACATTGGGACATTGCCAGGCTCACAGTGGTGGATGCAAGTTTTCCAGAATTCTAATTTTTACTTGAAACCTCAAATTTTATTATTAGCAACAGTACTGTGAGTTGTTTTCCTTGAAGTGACAAGTTTATGTCATTAATTTTTAAGAAAACACCTGCCAGATATCCAAGTCTGTATAGGCATAGTGTGTCTGTCAGTCATTCTTTCAAATAAAAAGGGTGTCCCATGAGGCAAAGAGTGGCTGGGTAATTTTGTAACTCAAACGATTGGATGGTGCTTTTCCTGGAGGTGACTGTTGTACTTCATAGCAGATGTGCTTTTTGTGTACCTCTCATTTCATCACATGGAACAGTGAGACCTTTACTTAAGGGTAAAGATTTAATATAATTAATAATTTTTACTGATTCGTCAAGGACTAGAGTGGAATTGGCTTTTTTGCCCCTTCAGATGCTTGGCAGTGAGATAACAAAGTCGTGGCAAAGTTTGTGGCTACTGGTTCAGTTTGGTGTCACTGCCTTGATTCATGCTAAGTAAGGCACCAACGGTTTTATCCAACATTACTTTTATAAATGTCAACAGAGTGAAAAAGGTGTATAAGATCTTAATATTACTAGGAAAATTTCAATATCAGAGACTGCTGAAAGGGTCTTGGGAGAGTTCCTGAGGGATCTTGGACCATAATTTGAAAAGTGCTGTTAAAGGCTGTGAAAATAGTTATATATTTGAATTAAAAAGTCAAAACTGAGACACACTTCTAATCCTACAGTTCTTGCCATTGAATTTGAGTGAAATTTTCTCTGTGCATGGGCTGTGTTTACATTAAAAAACTTTTTTTAATATGTCTTGGCTCTAGACCATACTTTTACAGTAATTTAGGTACAGAAGTGAAAAGAAGAGTTATTTATCTGTTAACTCATACATTAGATGTCTTATGGCTTTTTTACTACCTGAATGTAGAGAAACCACGTATTCTGGAGTAGCACAGCCTGGCAGCAGATGTCTGTGGTAGGGCCGAGGGAGGAGAAACAGGTTCCTCTGGGGCTGATGGTTCCAAATGCTGGGCTGGTGTTGGGTTAGGGTTAGGGTTAGGGTTAGCTGGGAACCTTTTTTGAAGTATAATGTGCAAGCTTCATCACCACTACCTGCCCCCCCCCCAACAAGATTCTGTCTTAATAAGTCCATCAATCTGGATTTTTTTTTTTTAAAACTCTCTAGTGATTGTGATGTGCAAACCAGCTTTGAGAATGTCTCACTTGGGGTGTTTAAAGTCAGAGGGGAGAACCTTGAATCTTAAGAAATTTTATATACAACCTTTAATCTGTTTATAGGCTCTTGTTACAGATAAAATTGTTCTTAAGTTGTCAGGAAGGGATATTTAACATTTCATCCTTTCTCCTTCCCAGCATTTGATCCTCCAGCTCCCTTTGTCACTCGTTTTTTGAACACAAGAGCGATGAAGGAAACCTTTAAAAGCTACATGGAATTGCTTGTCAGCATTGCCCTGGACCCCGACACGATGCAAGCCCTAGAGAAGAGCAACGGTATATAGTCTGCTGAGTAGCACTTCCCGGGTCTTTGTTGTCCTTGTCTGTTAGTTGTGCGTTTAATGTATGGTTTTTGTCAGTTAACAAATTCATGATATATTGATTCTATAGAATGGTCATATCTTTTCATTAATTATCTGAATATTTGAATAACTGTATATTGAATGTATTTTTACTGATCTCTACTCATGGGAAAATTATGTAACTATCTGCTAGTTTCTTTCAATTTTAAGAATCTTTATGAGCTTTACAATATTCCACTCAGTGTCTGTATTACATGCAGGGTCCAGATGTCAATATATTGTGTTTTCTAATAATTAGATGAACTGGATAATAATGGTGTAAAGATTAAAAGTGTATATTTGTGTCCAGTAAAAGCTATATCACAAAGTAATTATTTCCTAATCAGTTAGTACTAAAACAATATATGCATTGTCTTATATTCATTAATATTATTCCTTTACACTCTTGCTTTATTAATCTTTCTTATAGTAAAGTGGGGATGGAGTTGATATATAAATAAACTATATAAAATATATCTAATGTTGCTCACTAATGTTTACCCTTCAGCTGCTATAGCATTCACCAGGGACAACTAGAAAGATGAATGAAAGGATTAATGAGCCAGTTTCTATTACCCTTCTTCTGTCAAAATGATTCTATGGGTGTAAGATCAAAAGATAATAGCAAAGCATAGTCAGTAACAATATACTTCAACAGCAGTGCCTAAAAATATGTATTGTTTTATTATTTCCACATACTTTGACATATGTTATTCTGCTTTAATCCCAGAACAATTTAGCCATTTTGTGGATGAAGACAGTGAGAGGCTCAAAGAGGTTAAGTGACTTGCTTAAGAGCCCACAACTTGGAAGAAGCAGAGAAAGGATTAAAGTCCAAGGGTTTTCTAGTTTCTGGTCCATTGCTTTTTTGACCGTATAATCAGAGACAGTAATCTGTACATCAGTCATTTTAGAGTCATGTAGGGCTGGAGGGGACATTAGAAATTACCTGGTTTAAAGCATTTATTCATTTATTTATTTACCTTTTTGTCCGAAAGATTGGCCCTGAGCTAACATCTGTGCCAATCTTCCCCTGTTTTATGTGGGATGCCGCCACAGTGTGACTAGACGAGTGGTGCTAGGCCCACATCTGGGATCTGAACCTGCACACCCTGAGCCACCGAAGTGGAGTGCACAAACTTAACCACTATGCCACCGGGCTGGCCCCAAAACATTTATTTTGTAGATGAAGGTTCAAAGAGACAAAATATGTTTCCTGAAGTTATAGAACAAGTTAGTGGTAGAAGAACCATTACTAAAACCCAATAGTTAATTCCCCATGTTGGCTTTTTGCCATTAAGTGTTTTCCCTGTCAATCAAAACTCCTTGCATCATCAAATATGCATCTGTTAGTAATGGTCATTTCTGGGCAGTTGTATTTTAAATGACTTTTTTCCCTACTGTTTATCATTGTTTTCTGATTTTTCTCCATTTAATATAAGGGGGAAAGATTTTAATGGTTATAATACTTTAAAATAATCCACAAATGTTTGAAACTTGTTTTTGTGAAATGTAAATTCTTGTAGTATTTGAATTGATTTAATCACTACTGGAAAGATAAAAGAAAACTATCAGGTGTGTTCTAGTGAGCTTAGAAAGCATTGCACACTAAGGACCTTTTCTTCAATTAGAGGAGGTGTTCTTCTGATGGTCACTGTGCTTGTGTTTATATTCCAAACATTTTATTGAACTATGAAATTAGTAACCAGATTCTGAGGATTATATATACATTTTCAGAAAGGTCATTAGTATTATAAAAATATGATATTATGCTGATAAATTAAGAAACAGTCTGTATTCTAAAGTCTTTAAAACAGCACCAAAAGTAATTAACTTTACACTCTGGAAGTGCTTTTCTCAAACAAGCTTAAAGTTTCAGGGGTGACAAAGCACAAAGCTTTGAGTAGGATCTTTGTCGTACTTTTAGTTTCCCTTTCTGAAATAAGTCTTTTGACTCTTCTCTTGTATTTTTCACACTGGATTTTGATCATTTTTCTTTTCCTTAAACTGTAGTGAATTAAGAATATCATACTTAGTATTTTATAAAATTTTATAATGTTAGATAAATTTATATCCTGTAGTACTCTTACTGTTCAGATGGTAAATGAGTTCTGGAGAAATTAGGCAGTTGCCCACTGGTCATGTTGTGTGTCAGTTAATTCTAGAGGCAAGGACGGGTTAGAACGCAGGGGATTTCATCCTGTCCATACACTGCGCTGCTGCTTTCTTACTCGGCTAAGGTCTTAATAATGTTTTGAGACAAAGACAGATTTTTAACAAGATTTTCTGTTGATAGTTTATCCTATTCCAATAAATTTTTATCTTGTTTTAGATGAGCTACTTTTGCCTCATATGAAAAAAATAGATAGCATGCTGAATGATAATCGAAAGAGACTTCTTTTGAATCTCCACTTGGATCAGTCATTCAAGGTATTTCCTTCAGATGATTTATTAGCAAAACTCAGTGGCAATCATAGTCTTAAGCGTAATAGGATGGAAAATTTATGAAAGTCATTTTCAGTTTCATAAAATTTTCAACCAACAAAAAATTTGATTTTTATTCATTGTGAGTCTGTTTAGCTTGTCTTTTTATTGTATTAATAAGCACATTCTTAGTGTTAATCATTTGCTTTTTTCTGCTTAAATTCATTTTTCAGGCTTTTATATTTTTCTAGTTTTCCTTCTATATAATAATTTCCAAATGTTTTCAAAAGTACTTGCTTTAAACTACTGTATTCCAATCTTGTTTTTCTTCTAAACGTTTAAAAAATTTTCTCATTTCACCTGTAATGAGAATTGGTCTAGCACAGTTGTTAACATTCCCTTTACTTGTGTACTTTATTCAATATCTGAGCAAAAGTTAATTCTCACATAATAGTAGGGGATATGTATGTATCCATTGATTTATCTTGGCACCACAAATTGGTTTTGGTGTTATCAGAAATATAGAACAACAATAAGCTAATGTAAACTCAGAAAAATTATGATAGAAGCTACTTAGTAGTCAAAAAATTTCCAGCTTATTCAAAGTATAACATACAACATCTAGAATCATTTGATTATATCTACCTTGGGAGGAGTTTTTTTATCCATTTGTATAGCTTTTTTTTTTTTTTTTAAATAGACTTCAGTTTTAGAGCAGTTTTAGGTTCACAGCAAAATTGAGCAGAAAGTACAGAGAGTTCCCATATACCCCGTCCCCACACATGAACAACTTTCCCCGTTATCAGCATCTCCTTACGGTTCACTCTTGCTGTTGTACATTTTAAGGGTTTGGACAAATGTACAATGACGTGTGTGTATCATTGTGGTCTCGTACAGACTAGTTTCACTGCCCTGAACATCCTCTGTGCTCCGCCTACTCATCCCTCCCTCCCTCCTACCTTTGGCAACCACTGATCTTTTCACTATCTCCATAGTTTTATCATTTGTAGAATGTCATACAGTTGGAATCACACAGTGTGTAGCCTTTTCAAATTGGTTTCTTTCACTTGGTAATATGCATTTAAGGTTCTGCCATGTCTTGTCTTTTCTTTTTTAGAGATTGACACCTGAGCTAACAATTGTTGCCAATCTTCTTCTTTCTTTTTTTTCTTCTTGTTCTCCCCAAAGCCCCCCAGTACATAGTTGTACATTCTAGTTCTAGGTCCTTCTGGTTGTGCTGTGTGGGACGCTGCCTCAGCATGGCCTGATGAGCGGTGCCATGTTAGCACCCAGGATCCTGGGCCGCCAAAGCGGAGTGCGCGAACTTGGCCACTTGGCCACTAGGCTGGCCCCTGCCGTATCTTTTCATGGCTTGATGGCTCATTTCTTTTTAGCACTGAATAATATTCCATTGTCTGGATAGATAACAGTGTATCTGTTCTCCCACTGAAAGACATCTTGGTTGCTCCCTAATCCTGGCAGTTTTATCAGGAAAACTGCTATACGCATCGTGTGCAGGCTTTTGCATGGACATGTTTTCAACTCCTTTGTGTAATTTGTATAGCTTTTTTACATCCCTATTTTATCTGAACTCCACATAAAAGTGAAACTTGACTTCGTTTTTGCTAGGTGACCCCAAGCTCTGCTGGTAGTCCTGTATTCTTCACTGACATGAACTTGCTGAGAAAAAAGTCAGAAGCTAGTAAGAAGCCCAGTACTGAGAATTTGGTCTACTGACTCCCAGTCCAGTATTTTCTGCTTAACTGCTGTCTTCTAACGAAATAGCCCTTTGGGAAATGTCATGTTTTCTTCAGACAATAGGATGTTGTTAGATGTGTGTTTTCTAAAAATTTACTAAATCTTAAAAATGACCAGTTTGGGCTAACTGATTTTAGAAAGTCAAACCAGTTCTCTAGTAACTTGTATTAAAAAGCCACCACTTGGAATTTAATGGACTCAGTAGATATTTAAAACTTATGCAGTAGTTTATGATGAAAATTGAAAAATTAGTTTTCATATTCTTATTTCACAGAACAAAAGTCTAATTTTGAAATTATACTTATTAATTTTGATAATTTTTATTTATAGTAACTTGCATTTCAAAGCCAAAATATACATTATTAAAAGTTAGAATTATTTGATGTAAAATGTTACAAACAGTATATTAGAAAAGATTTTCTATTTTTTGGAAATGATTAGCACCATTTTCCATGATCATCTTGGTAATTTTAGGAATCCTAAAGCCTTTTGAAGTTCTGTTTTCATTTGAAATCCATGTACTCCCAGTCATCTTGTGCTTATTAGAAAGATCATTTAAATATTCTCTTTTCATCTCCATTGACCTGGTGTTCATTATTTCCAAATCTGGAATCCTTATTTTGTCTTTAAGTTCCATTTATTGTAAATAGTAATTCAGGGTCCAAAAGTTTTCAAACCTGGGCATGTTTTATATGGAAAGCACCAAACTATGTAATAAAAGCACAAATAATTTAAGAGAATGAAGCTAGAAATTAATGATAGCTCACTCTGGAGGAAATGCCAAAGATTCTATTATTTCTATTTGATGAAACTTAAACTTAGTTCCCTCCTACACTTATATCTAAAAAAAATTAGACTATCTGTTAAAAAATGTCCTGTTTCAGGGGTCACAATGCCAGGTGCTTGGGCACTCAAACAATTTGGAAGAGAGTGGCCTTGAAGGTTGTAACTGTTTATAAAAAAATTGAGCTTATTGAATGAGAACTATGTTCTGAATAATAAATATAAGAGAAAAAATATATAATGGGAGCACTTGAACCCGTTTAGTGTCAAAATAATAAATGATACTGGTAACTCACTTTAATTTTTTTTAAAACAATATTTAAACTAGTTAGATTTAGCTACAAATATTATTTAGTTAGTGTTTGTAGCTTTTTATTGCAAGTTGATTTGCCAACTAGGTTAGGGTATAAATAGGCCTGCGGGTTTTAAAGAATGGACTGGAATTGGTTCTGCCACATGGCCACTAAATTATCAGTAGTACTATGCCATTGTGGTCAGAAAACTCATCAGGCTGTTTTAGACTCCTGTCTTACAACTGCTTTCCCTGTGGTCAGTGAAGCAAGAGAAGTGATAAAGCCAGAGAAGCATCTTGTTTTCCTCTGTTCTCATCCTGGGTCAGATGAATTCTTCATAGCAGGGCGTGGCCAAGTTTCAGGGTGTTAACAGTGGTTTAATTGGTAGAGCTTTGAAGAAACTTACATGTGTCCCTCTTTCTCCTATCATGAAACCAGAGAGGCATGACTCGAAAGAACTCTCTGCCTCCTTCAGGAGTCCCCACAGTGTCACAGGCTGTTGCTTAAATCAGGTCATGAGGTTGGCCCAGATTCAAGGGATGGGGAAATAGATTCCACGTCTTGATGGGAGGAGCTGCAAAGAATTTGTGGCCATGTTTAAAACACCCACATGTGTATGTATATGTACGTGTATATTGTATTTGTTTACCACATCCATCAATCCCCTACACATGTATTTGTGTGTGTATATGTACACATATGTATATATTTCTGTATTTTTTAAAATAAATTTTGAATGGCTAGAAATAGTTTAGATTAGTTTTCTTCTGATGTGAATTATTTTTGCTTTATTTTAAAGAGTGCTTTGGAAAGTTTTCCTGAACTAACAATAATTACTCGAGACTCTAAAGCAAAAAGTGGGGGATCTGCCATTTCTAAAATCAAAATGAATGGCAGAGCTTATAATAAGAAAACTCTAAGGACTTCTAAAACAACCACTAAATCTGCACAAGTGAGTATATATTGATTGTTGTAATTATACCTTTTCCAGTTGTTAGTATAATTCCTACTTAAAACATTGAAATAACCAAGCAGTTTACCATGCTGTTAATGGTGAAGCTTTCTCAGGTAGAAATGAGCAGCTCTGGCCTAAGGAAGAGGGACTTGGTGTTAGTCTTTGTCTCCAGTGCCTAGCACAGTATCTGGCAGACAGTGGGTGCTCACACATTTTTTAAATAGACTAATAAGCAAGGAATCATCCTATGCCTGCATTTATATTTTTTTTATATAGTTTTTTTGTCATTGGATGCAAATGCAGACAGAGAAGTGAGTGTGCACACTTCCCATAGGAGTCAGTCTGGATTCCGTCTGCAAAATTATTAAAAGTGGAATCCATTCAATTTCAAACATGGTCTAAATTACTGCTTTTTCAGAAAACAGCTTAGCAACATATCAAGTCCACATCAAAGATGTATTCTGTAGAAACATATTTACAAATGCATAAAAGCATGCATTTGCTCATTGCAGAATTGTAAGAGCAGTTCAGTTGTGTATCATCACTGTGAGACTGGATAAATAAAGAGTCATTCAGATAATGTAATGCTATGGACTTTTCAAAAAGAAGAGGTAGATTCATTTGTTCTTTCACTAAAATTTTTGAATGCCCATGGTGTGCCGAATACAGTTCTAAGTACCACAAATAAACAGTGAAAAATGGTCAAAAATCCCTGCCCTCATATAATTTATATTGGGGGGGCATATGTAATAAAGAGAAAGATATCCAAGTTTTAGTTAGGTGAAAAACTAGTTATAAAAAAGAAAGTTGCAGAACAATATGTATAGTATGATTCCCTTCCCTTTACAAAATTAGTGTTGTTAATATATGTGTGGGGGGACATGGAAGAATGCATAACTGTAATGCTGTTAACCTCGTTTATCTCTGAATCAAGAGATTATAGGATTCTTTTGCTTTATAAGTCATATTATATGTTTACTGTGTGAATTTTTGTATAATGTTTAATTTTTTGGAATAGTGTATATTTATATTCGGGAAAAAGAATGAAGATTTTAAAATACAATTTAAATTCTGTTTTTGAATAAGCTTCTTGTTGATATTAATACAGGGTAATGCCTAGCCATAGAAATCATTTTTAAGATTTCCATTGAGACTTTTGGTCTAGTACTTTTGTAAAAGTATTCTTAGCTCAGATAGCTCCATGAAATAAATATATCTGTAAACTCTTTTGTTTTTATAGGAGTTTGCTGTTGATCCAGAGAAAATACAGTTGTATTCTTTATATCATTCACTGCATCATTATAAATATCATGTTTATCTCATATGTAAAGATGAGGTAATTATTTTTCACTTGTTTTAAAAAAGAAATGTGTGTTTTTCCAAATTTTAAGGAGACTGTAGGTACAGTATTTTTTAATGTTTTAAAGACCATTGTTAGAAAATGTGTCTATATTCTCCTGTAAACAATAACAAGAAGACTTATTGTTCGGAGTCTCTGTCATCTGTTGTGCTCAGTGCTCAGAGTAATCTGAGGCTCATCACCTCTCGTAGGAACTGTAAGTGGTAATGTTTTTAAGCTGTTAGAGCTTGCTGTACCTTGCCATAATAAATGGTCCTTTGCTGCATGTTCTCTCCTAATGTATGATGATTCTGCTGTAATTCGCTTCAGTCACTGCTGTCTTCTTATCACTAGCATGGCCTTATCCCACTTAATTGCAGAGAAATAGGGCACTTGTTCCTTGGCATGAAGAAATGATAATTAAAATTTAATGTTAACTATTAAATACCATAATTTAAGTTGCTCAGAAGTTATGTATGACAACAATACCATTTTTGGATTGGATATAAGGATTAATTTGCTTAGAGGTTAAATGACTATAGACGTTACTACCTTTTTTTGACCAGCACTATCAATTTTCTAATCCAAAAGGGTGAAGTTGGCTCAAGGCTGTACCTGATATGTTTGATCATGGTTTAGTGTGGAAGGATGTTCATAAATCGAACCTCTGTCTAGCAAAGGAGAAAGTAAAGATGGTCATGTAAAATATGGTGACTGCTGTCACAGTGCTTTGAAATGCAGAATTGACCCCCAAATTTGCCTTTCAGCTTTTAACACAATTGAAAGGAATTGAGAAAGTTTGAACCACTTTTCCTAGCCTTCCTCCCTGCCCCCATGGAGCCAAAAATGATAGTATTAAACTTAACCCAAATTTATTTGAAATAATCCTTTTCCATGGATAGATTTTTTCCAAAAAAAGATTCCTACTTGTAGGTGACTTAATCCCTTTTCATTCAGAATATAGAAACAGTAAGCCCTTGTGAAGAGCTTATAAAGTGATAAGTATAAGCTAATGTGCCAATTCTCTTTATTTTAGATTTCTTCTGTGCAGAAAAGAAATGAAGATTTAGGACAGGAAGAAATTGTTCAACTTTGTATGAAAAATGTAAAATGGGTGGAAGACCTATTTGAAAAATTTGGAGAACTTCTAAATCATGTTCAGCAGAAATGTTCCTAACAATTTCCACAAAAGTGCCGTCTATTTTGTAGCACTAATGAGATGGCGGAGAGGGGGGTGATCAAAGAGGGTCTGGGGCCTCAGATAATCGAATATCAAGCAGCGGTCTCCTGCAGGCCCGCCTGCTCCGATCAGGGAACTGGCATCGTGACCTCTGCTGAAGGACAGTGTTGCTCCCAAGGAATTCAGTCCTTTGGAAGTGGACCTAAATCCCACGACATTTGTATCCTAATGAATGATTTTTCTATTTTGTAAACAATTGGGTAACTGAGTTTTATTTTCAGAAATGTTTTTTGACAAATGATGAAGCATGCACTAAATACAATTTTTCTTTATTGCTAGAGAGATAACACTTAAGTAACTTGATAATTTTTTCCTGACTCTGACTAAACACCAGGATGAAAGAAAGGGGGCAGAAAGCCTATGTTTGCATTTGTGTCTGGCCACGAAACGGAAAGTATTGTACGTTATGAAAACAGATCTGGTGTGATTTTTGTACGAGAATATCAACAGTTTATGAAATTCAGAAACTGCATTCTGCTTTACGAACTCCTTTTACTCTTAACATGTTCAGGAAACTGGATGTGGAATTGGTGCAATTCTGTGACTGCTTTTTGTGTCAAATTATATTGTGGTGAAAAAAACAATGACATACTATTTTCCCTATCTCAAAGAAAAGTATTTTCCTTTGGAAAAATTTTCAGTCGTACATTTTATTTCACTAATAGTTGTATTTTTCACAAGGAAAGTGTTGTGGTTATAATTATGTTTGATGTATCTGTACTACACTTTTCATTATTTTCAGTAAATCTTATTTAGATATATATTGAATTTCTATTGTGAGTTCTATCTTGAGGTAACCATTTTTGTTTATACAGATTTCCTTCAGTGTTATCCAGAATATGCATTTAGTACTAGAATTAGTTTAGCTTTATAAATGGGGTTGTGTTAGACACTGCAGTAATTTCCTGATTCATGAAAATAAATTTCTTACTAAATTAGCACTTGATTAACTGATTTATCAAAATAAAAATCTAACCACATTATACATTTTGAAGAATAAACGTTTAGTAGACCTCATGCAGTGTTAAACACAGCTTACCTAACTGAGAACTGGAAGTGGTGGAGCTCTCCTTTGGGTGCCTTTCCAACCTTTAGACGTATATCGTAGCCTTCTTTAGTTCGATAGCTAGTGTTTTGAGTCGTTTAGCTGAGACAGTGAATGTATTAGGTTCAACATGACCTTGTATTTTATTTGTGTTTGCCAACAGGATGCCTTATTTGTTTGAGAAAAAGATTTACTAGTGTCCTTCTAAATGATCTCCTTTTTTAGGATTCTAAAGATGTTGTTAATCATCCTACTTGTTTATTTTACCACCATTTAGTGCCTTAAGTCCTATCCAGAAAGCAGTGTTACTGCTTAATGCCCAAATAAGACATGTGTATGTGGATATTGCTGTTGCCTTGATTTTGAGTTAATAGGTCAACTTCTAATAGCTAAAACCTCAGTAAACTGGCAAAGAATTGAAGGTAATATGTGACGCAATTTGAGAATGAAACTTTGTAGCATTGGGTGAAAAATCAGTATTTTGAGGTAAACTTACATATTTGTTTCTGATGGTTATCTTTTTAAGAGCAATAATCCTTAATCCAACAATCCTTGTACCTGCCTTTAGACAGGATAGTCAATAATAGCAGTTTCTCTCAAGGGTTAAATGTTTGCTTTCTGAAAGTTTAAAACAAAAAACCGTTTAGGCCGCTTATTTGGAAAACAAAAGTAACTTATTTGATTCATTTTGCCTAACTCAAGTGAGAAAATATCAGCAATGAGCATCATACAATTAATTTTGCTAAATGGAGAAGAGTAGGAAGCAGCCGTATTTCTTTCTGATATTGACTCTGGCTAGAATTGGTTTCTTTCATTTCCAAAGTGCACAGCAGATACTGCATCTCCTAATGTAGTGTTACAAGTCTTTATGTTACTCCCCCAGCTTACTTTCCTGAATCATTGTTGGTTTAAATATTTTAAAAAGCCGTCTTGCATTTAGGGTAACTCGAAGTACCTGTTTGAAACCACTAGCCACATTTTCTTCATGATAAGACCCTTCAGAAATAGAGATGTTTCTTGTAGAAAATAACCCATTTCCTTTTCAACTACAGATGCCCTCCAACTGTTTGCAGTTGAATTCATTTTAGTAAAACAAGCGTTTTTGTGATATCAGAGGCCAAGTCTATAGGACTGCCTGGAGGAGACCTGGTTGTAACTTGACACCATCCTCTGTCATGTGGTCCACGTAGCATAGACAGACCTCAAACTCCAGGCCTTAGAGAAAGTGGGACACTTACGACAGCTATACATCAGTCTGTCCTTGGGGATGATGTCAAATACCTAGCTGTTTAGCCTTCACGGTCCTTGCCAGGCAGTTTGAGATTTATAATAGAAATAACTTTAGGGGGTGGATTGAGTCAAAGAGGTAAAGCACATGTTGCACAACCCAGGAAAACATTTTTAAGAAAGATTTGATTTTCCTACCTTCTGATATCTGAAAATAATTTTGTATAAAAAATCGTTTTGTGTTGGTGTTTATTTCTAGTTCACATTGCTGTTTGGAGAAGCAAGCAGGCTCCTGCTTTTCATTTGCACAATAACCAGTTTCCACTACTTGAGCCTCTATTGAAGTCATAAATTTATAATGATTTATGAATTATCATAGTAGTTCAACAATAGAAACTGCCCATTTTTCTATTACACTTTCAGCTAGAAAACTTTAATTATAATGGCTTAAAAAGTGTTCAGATTATCTTTACATTTCTAAATTTCCTTAAATTCCCAAAATTTAAAACTTATAGATGATTCATACATTATTACTGTTTTCAAAGCTTTCCTCACATTGTTTAAAGCCTTACTTTCCTTTTAATATGTATATTTATTTTCTTTAAAGCAGCTATTTCCCAGCCTATGACTTTGGAGATATTTCCATAAAACCAATATAGCAGCAGGGTTATTGAGTCAGCTTTGGGTCTCAAGAGTTGCTTCAGATGTACACATTTGTGAATTTTATTGTATTTGTAGAATACAGTTTTTGTTTAAAGATATACTTCCATCTGTTTCTCAAGACTGCTTTTCAGATAGAGTGAAATATCCCAGGATGATTGCTTCTAATTGTGTCACTTGCACTTGACACATAACTGCACAAATGGACAATGTACGCTTTTGGTTGTGCATTAACTTACATGTACAACCTTTGGCATCTGTGTTCACAAATGCATGTTTTTGCAAATCACCTTTATCTATAAATGACAATAATTGAAGTTAAGGACACAAAGAAACTTGCATTTGTAGTCCAGAATTTTAAGTGGTCCATAATACGATGTATGGAAATTGGAAATGTGAAGGACAGTTTTGTATATTTGTTACTAACTCAGATCATTAAAATGAAAACAATTTTTTAAACAACAAAATCAGAATGTTTTGGGGTTTGGTTTTTTTTTTAAGAATTGAAAACTGAGGTATTTTATTATCCAAAAGCATCGTCATGTTATAGATTGCTCACGTAACACTCATCATCTCACAGTGTCCTAAACCAGTTACTAGATATGAGTGCTATAGGGCCCACCCATCTTCTTCTCAAATGGTTGTGTCAACATTTGATGAAATATACAGCCTCAGCTGACAATAACAGAGAATACTTGAGTTTCTATGTTAAGATACAAGTCTTTTAGCCCTTTTCCACCTATAAAGAGCTATAAATCCACTGTCACTTTACTAATTTTTATTTGAAAATACAGACAATTCTCCACTTTAAATGGTTTGACTTACAAGTTTTCCTCTTTACGATGGTGTGAAAGCGATACACGTTCAGTAGAAATGGTGCTCAGAAGTTTGAATGGTGATCTTTTTCCGGGCCAATGGGATGTGCACGATCCTGCCTCGCGATGCTGGCAGTGCAGGGAGCCTCAGTGCTCAGTCCATCCGGCGATCACGAGAGTGAACAGCTGATACACTGTAACCACTCTGACCCCAGTCACCCCTTTTGTTTCCCACTTTCAGTGCAGTATTCAATCACTTACAAGAGATACTTGACACTGTATTATCCAGCAGGCTTGTGTGAGACGCTTCTGTCTGACTGAGTGTCAGTGCTCTGAGCGTGGTCACTGTAGGCGAGGCTAAGCTGGGACATTTGCTAGGTTTGATGTACTGAATGTATTTTTGACTTAGGATATTTTCAACTTAAGATGTTTTATTGAGACATAACCCCATCGTAAGTTGAGGAAGATCTGTACTGCAAAGTTGGAAGTAATTGCTAATAACTAGATTTTTTTATTATCTATACAAACTATTGAGTAGGTAAAAAGGAGTTTGTCCTGACCCTTTCATTTTCAGAATAATAGTATTTTGCCTTAACTTTCTTATAATATTTTTAAATATTAAATATTTCAAATAATAATATTGTCAGCATGTTTGTTGTGTTTAGGTTTGGTGTAAAAGCACTTTTCATTCCTTGATTAATTGCAGTTAAAAAATCTTGAATCAGTGATCTCTATCAAAAAAAATTTTTTTTTTTTGGAGGAAGATTAGCCCTCAGCTAATTATTGCCAGTCCTCCTGTTTTTGCTGAGGAAGCCTGGCCCTGAGCTAACATCCATGCCCATCTTCCTCTCCTTTATATGTGGGATGCCTACCACAGCATGGTGTGCCAAGCCATGTCCGCACCCGGGGTCCGAACCAGCGAACCCTGGGCTGCCGAGAAGCAAAACTTGCGAACTTAACCGCTGCACCACCGGGCCGGCCCCTTAAAAAATATTTTAAAGTTCTGTAACATCCTTGTTTTGTTATCCATTGGTTGCTGAAATTGCTGTTCATTTTAGTACTTTCCACAAAATATTTTAGAAAACAGTCACTATTCAAATTACCAGCATGCAAGCCTAAAGGATAGCCTTGATCCCACACTGCTTTGTCAAGGTCTTGTGCCTCAGAGAAGCTCTAAACGCAATTATTTAACTTGACTCTTCTAAAGGAAGATGTGAAGAGGGTACTTCTACTCTTTGTTTTCCATGTGGAAATGTTTTTATTACCAGAAAAATAAAAGCTACTCCTTCCTGCTGTTTTAAAAAAGTCATAGAATATAAAAAAGTGTAAAGGAAAAGGTCTAAACCACTCCACCAAATCTTGACACCAGCCTAAAATATGCTTTCAGTCTGTGGAATGGGTACAAGATTAGGTATCAGGAACTGGCCCTTTTCTGTGGTGTGGATTTAAGTAAATTCTAGATTTCAGAGATGCCCATGTGTAAATGAAAATTAAAAGGCACGTTTCAAAGTGAAATAGAAAAGATCTGGATAATTGATCATGTTAGGTTATGTATATATCTGTTCAGTTAGCATGAATAATTTGGAGCTGACAAGTTTCAAATAAAAAGAAGATAAAATTATCTGTTAGTCTTTTGTTAACCTTATCTATTTTGTAATGTTAATCAGGAGTCTGCAAAAATAATACGTTTTACATATAATTTACCTGTGATGCGTGGAGTTTATTGTTTTCTTTCACATCCACTATAGATGTTCTTTTAGTTTAGCTCCTTAAAGTATTTAGAATAAGGCAACAGTGAAGATCATTTAAGACAGAATAAAAAATAATGGAGATGGTAGAAATGTTTTTCTTAAATTGCAGCCAGTTATCTTTGTCCTCTCCTTACCCTCTTCACAACCTTTCCATGGCTTTCATTGCCTTTAACCCAAACTCTGTCACAGTTTGCAAAGCCCTTTATGAAATGTCCCTCCTTAACTTCCCCTGCCCTTCAGGAACTTCTTTAAATTCCTCAAATGTGTGTGTGTGTTTTTGCCTCCAGTCCTTCATGTTCCCTCTGAACTATTCCTTCAGATTTCACTTTAATATCATTTCTGTTGAACTAGATTGGATGCCCTGGGACTCCTCCAGTGTAGCATTTACCACACTCTGGTGGTTGCTTGATGGCTGGTCTCTTTTGGGCTCCATCTTATCTCCTAATGAGAGGACCCTTGGGTGTTTTCCTCACCATTGCATTCCTAGCATCTAATGCAGCATCTGGTCTCATTAAATATTTGCTGAATAACTGGATATATGAAAGGAGGTTTACAGGGACCCTTAAAAAGGTAAAACAGGAAAGTATTCATTGCATTTTGCAATAAAGGCATTAATGACCTTAGCAATAGTAATTGCAACATCAGAAGAAAATGGCAGTACCAAGAGTTTGTATAATGCAACAATTGCTGGCATTTTTAAGAAAAAGTGGAATGTGGTGGCCACCATTTTTTACATTTTGTCCTCATACAGAGAGAACCCTGGTACCAGGAATTCACATTTCTCTTGTCTTTTGGGCTGCAGACTCTCCAGCTAGAATGATCAGGGAAGAACGTCCTAGTTAAAATTGGTGTTTCTGTTAGATGCACTCATTGTGAGCAAAGTCCTCTGGTGGGAGAGTTCATTTACTGGGGAGGATCAGGAAAGGCTTCATGGAGGCCGTAATGATTAAGCTGAACCTCAGAGGTCGGGAGGACTTTGACAGAGATGGATGAGCAAGACGGCATAATATTTAGTTTGTATCACGAGAATCGTGTCTGCTTCTGTTCTGCCACTAGCTCTATTCTCAGGCATGTCCTGTGACACTTAATCTGGATCTGTTTTCTCATCCTGAAAATGAAGCAATAAATAAAGTCTTAAGCTATTAATGTTCTTTAATTCTAGATAGGGAGACTGGAATGTTGGGAGAAATGCCCAGTGGTTCAGTCTGGCAGCACCTAAAGAGAGAGACAGCAGAAGAGTAAGCATGGAAAGGCCTTACTGCATTATTTACTATCTTGTAAGACTTTCAAAATATTTAAGCAACTAATTTGTACACTCACCCCACCATCAGCTCTTAGTGCATCTTGTGACGGTAGTATGAGATTAATTAGAAACATGTCTGGGGGGCCGGCCCGGTGGCGCAGCGGTTAAGTTCGCACGTTCCGCTTCTCGGCGGCCCGGGGTTCGCTGGTTCGGATCCCGGGTGCGGACATGGCACTGCTTGGCAGCCATGCTGTGGTAGGCGTCCCACGTATAAACTAGAGGAAGATGGGCACGGATGTTAGCTCAGAGCCAGGCTTCCACGGCAAAAAGAGGAGGACTGGCAGTAGTTAGCTGAGGGCTAATCTTCCTCCAAAAAAACAAAAACAAAAACAAAAACAAAAACAAAAACAAACAAAAAAAAGAAACATGTCTGATATCAGCAGGCAATTATGATCAGTCTTCATCTGTCTCCAACAGCATGGTCTTGTACACAATAGGCACTTAAAAGGTATGTGTTGAGTAGATAGTAGATAAATGAGGGTTTATTTGGGTATGGATTCGAGTTCGGGTGAGTGTTCGGGTTCGGGTGAGTGGGGTTAGGGTTCG